ACGACCAAAACCCTTTTCACCATCATCCACCAAATTTAGCTCTGTTCATGATCTCTTCTCTACTTTGCTATCGTCGACTTTCTCCAATGCATTCTATGCACAAATCCGACACTCGGAGTTCTAGTTTTACGCACTAGAGCATCTACATTTTGCCCGAGTCTCTTCGAGCGTCTGATAATAAAATCCAAGTTTTACTGTTTCATATAAAGAAGAGATTCAAGAGAAATTAGCGTGCAAGACTAGGTGAGAAAATTACCTTGACTTTTTCTTGAAGGTCCTTGATGTACTGAACCGCAAGATCCAACATATCTGCTGTGTTCGTTTGCTGCATATCAATTGAAGATTATAAATACATTGCGCAAAAGAACGTGAAAGCACGATAAAAAAGAAATGAGATAGGAAGATCGATTTCACCGTGTCCATGTTTGGAACAAGGTCTTGCAGCTTCCTCATTCTTTCACTGATCTTGGTTCTTCTCACCTGTTCCACAACATTTTTGAAAATATAAATAATCTCAGGAGAAATTAAAGCCATTGAGCATAATAGTAGATGGGAATGATTTTACCCTCTCGGCAATACTACGGGGATGAGTAGCGCAACCACGCTTGGCTCTGATCTTACACGGGATAGAATCCGAGAGTAACTGTTCAATATCTGATAAAGACTTAGGCAAACTCATATGATGCGCTAAAGGAGGACGTCTACTCGCTGAATCTTCTTCCTGTTTCATCACTCCAAATCAATCAAACCAAGAACTACAGCGGAAAATCACATAAACATCTCTCAAAATATGAATGAAGCTCATACATACCTTGGTTTTGTAAAGATCTAAACCTCCAGACTGAGTCCTAGCAATAGATGTAAGCTTATTAGACGAAGCAGAGCCTTCGTTCCCAAACGAACGGTTAAACCCACCAGAGAGTGTTCGAGGAGGCAATCGAGAAGAGAAACCCGGTTTAACATCAATCTCAGAGATCGAACTCATCGGCGGTGCAGGAGGAAGCTTGCTATTAGTAGTAAGAGACGAAACTTCAACATTGCTTGTGTTGTTCATCACATTACTTCCTCCAAATCCTCCTCCCATACTTTTCATTACAGCTGCATATGCTACCATTCCCAACACAAACACCAAATTTGGTTATATACTCCAATAAAGACTTCAACTTTAACTACTTTCCCCATCACTCTTGTGTTTATTGCAGATTCTACTATTCAAAGCTTAAATATTTTTCCTAATTAAGTCCTAACAAATCGGAGGAAGCATATTCTCATAAAAAGTTACCAGAAAAGGAAATACTTTCCAGTTTTTTCAAAAAATCAAAACTTTTTTAAAATTAGAAAGTGAAACACAAAAGGAAAGAAACCTGTTTCCACATCTATGGAGGAAAATAATCCCGCCGGTGAACTATTATGCCGAGCAAGATTATTCACCGGAGTCGGAGCCCGATCATCTTTCTCTCTTGGTCTTTTATTATTCAGACCTAAATTCCTCACATACCCAATAGATTCCGAAACCTCTCCGACGACCTCCATCGCCGGAATCTTTATCTCCTCCTCTGCATCGGCCTCCTCTGTTTTCACTTGCGGTGGTTTCTTCTCTGTTTCGCCACCAGAGAAAGTATTTTGGAGGAAACTATCGACGTTGTTGCTTGTGTCGGTGGTTTGTAAAAACCCAGATAAGATTCGCTCAGTTTCTGGGCTTGTGGGTCGATCTAAGAACTCTTCGATCGATTCTCTGTTTTCGAAGCTCGAAAAATACGAACTTGGTGCAGATTGGTAACGAATCAAACCTGAGTTTGTTCTTTGTCTTTGATGGTGTTGTTGATGATCGTTATGGTGAAGAAGGAAGTGATGTTGTTGAAACTCTGATTCCATCTTAGTAGTAGCTTTAGTGTTTCTCTCTTCTTGTGTAATCGTTTTTTTTTGTGTTGATATCACCGGAAAAAGTTTTGTTTCGCCGGGAGATTTTTCCCGGTGAGAGAGATTAAAAATGTAATTTAATTAAAAATGAAGGACGTGAGGGAAAGTTATGCGAGAGAGGAGGAATTAAGGGGAGAGAAACAACAGAGGGCAGGTAGAGATTGGGGATTTATTTACGTTATGACAAAATTACCCTTGGTGGTGTGTTGTTATTACGAGTGGAAACTGTGATGTTGACACGTGTAGGCCATGTGGGGACCATAATGATTTTTATTTTTTGCTATTACAAAAAATACTTGTGCACATTTACAAAAATACCATTTAGAGATGTCCATTTACAAAAATGCCACT